CTTTTTTGCAATCTGACTTATTTGTGATTATTTGGACAAGATCATTGGCCGTGATATTCATGTCAATAGATGGTGCTGGTGGATCTTGAGTGGGAAAGTCATATTGTCCTGTTGCAGGATTTGGTTGTAACACCTCTTTTAGGTAATCAGCAAAAACGTTAGATTTTTCTTCATCATTTCGCGTCCAGTTTCCGAGAGAGTTTTATATTGGAGAATTGGATTCTATGGGGGATTTATACCTTTGCTAGCATTCCACAAGGATGAATGGTTTTTGTCATTTGGACATAGGTTTTGAATATGATTATATTGCCTGATTTTGGTTTAATTACTTAATGCAGATCTAAGTCTCCTTTGGGATTCCTTAAATAAGTTTTTTGCCAAAGGGGACCTAGATTTTTTCCATTCACGCCTTAATCTACGTTTTTGTAAAATTAAATTCTCTATGTCATTATTTGTAAGTATTTTATTGAATCTGTATATTTTATTGTCTTTAGTGGTGGAGTTTTCTTCTGCTGAAATCAGAATTGAGTTCAAAACCGAGGTTGCATCCTCAATATGAGACTTACACGTTATCTTGTAATTTGTGTCAATGTGTGAATTAATGTACTTTTTATATTTGACCCAGTTTGTTCTAGGACTTGTAAGGCTATAGGAACAGTCGTATAACTGAGGACCATCAAGTAAGCAAAATGTGACTGGGAAATGGACAGAAAACAAATCGCAGCTAGTGTATGTTGAGGTAAAATTTTTGCTTATGCCTTTGGTCACGGCGAAGTCTATTAGGTCTGGTATTTTATTGTTATCAGCAGACCAATATGTTAACTGCCCAGGAGAAATTACGTCTAATGCATTTTTTCTATTTAGAATGGAATTGTGGAGGTGTTTTCCTTTTGAATTACAGAGTCGTGAACCCCAATACGTGTGCTTAGCGTTGTAGTCTCCCGCCGCAGATAATCTTTCACCTAGAGTTAAGAAGTAATCCGTAAATTGGAGCTTAGTAATGTTGAAGCGAGGGGGGCAGTAAACTGCTGATAAAGTTAAATTTTTTCCTTTGTACTTAAGGCATATTGATGTTGCTTGCATATAGTTATGAGCATATGCACCTAGAAAATTGTGTTTTAGACGCCTTCGTATTAAAATACCTGTACCACCATGTGCTTTGCCATCTGGGTGATTGGTTTTATAGAATAAATAACCAGGAATAGAAAAGAAATTTTTGTTTGTTAGATGTGTTTCTGACCGAGGTATTACATCCCCACTTTCTCGGAACATAAAATTTGTGAGTTCAAGTTTATGATGGCTTAAAACGTTTGCATTCCATGTACAAATTTTTAAAGTATTTATTTATTAGACAAAAACATTTGCATTAATTGGCTTTGCATTTTAACTATCTCGTTAAGAGTAGTTTGCATGATTGACATGAATTGAGTTAAGCTTTGGGTGAGAGTGGAGATCATCATTTCCAAACTATTACTTTGAACTGGAGGGGCTTGTTGCTTGTCAGATTTAACGACATTAGCATATGAAACACCTTGTGTAACAGGCCTATAAGTTAAAGGTTGGGGTATTTCAACTAATTTGATGGGGTTGCTTCTTGTAGGATTACGCAACGTTTCTTTCTGCAGTGCTAACCTGTGCTTCAGTTCTTTATAAATAGGACAGCTTCTGTAGTTTGCGGTGTGATTTCCACTGCAGTGGTACATTTTTTGGAGTTGGTATCCTTTAATGCTTTTATGGCATTCGGAACTATGAAGCTCGTCACAAGCTACGCACACTGTACGAAGAGTGCAATATGACTTGGTATGGCCATACTCTTGGCAGTTTGTGTATTGCACCGGCCCATTTCTTTTGTGGGGCTCCTCAACGCTAATTCGGTGAAGTAAATACTGTAGGTTGTAGATGGGATGGCTCTCATTTTTTTAAGCTTAGAAGCTTCCGGGTGAAGTTCAACTTTGAACATAGGTTGTGGGATTTTATCTTTGTTAACAATATTTATTACTGCTCTAGCGCTAAAGCCTTTTTCGCTTAGGGCATTTGTTATCTCAATGGGTTCTACATCTGATTCGATACCTTTAATTACGACAACGAGGTCCTTACTACTCTTTAGTTGGTATGTGTAGTAATTTTTTTTGCTGTCTTCGAAATATTTGGTTATGACTCTAAAATTGTTTTCAGTTTCGATTTGGATTTTGGTTTCGTGTATATTGCCCCTAGTTATAGGAACAATATGAAAAGTATTATTTCCAATCAGACTTGCAAGGATTGTAAGTAGGTTATTTAAGCTGCGTTCACGCAGGTAGATTGGAGGCGGTTTAAAATTTTTGTTAATAGGCTGATTAGCTTCTTCTGTAGTTTCAGCTAATTCAGCAAATCTATTGCCAGAAAGAATGTTTGTAGTTGCACTATCTTTGATAGTTTTAGTTATTTTAGCACCTTTTGAATTGCTTTTTGAGGACTAAGTTTGCGTTTCATATTTACATAGCGTTCCATGCCTGTTTGGACCTTTATTTTATTTTTTGGACTCGCTAAGTCGGAAAATGCAAGCGAAGCTGCTGAAGGTGCAATGTTTGACAATCTTTTGTCAGTTCGTGTAGTTTTCAGAGGCAACGTATTCGATGCGTCTATTACCAAATAAGCATTACGTTTACTTGGAATGCTTATCGTATGTCTTCTTTCTAGATTTTGATTGCTCATTTGCATACGTGGTTATATATGCAAATAGCAGGTGTGCTATAAGATTTACTTAATTTAACTACGAAAAATTGAAAATATTTTTAAAGTCCACTTGAGCACAAATAATGGCCCGTTGTATTAACACGGAGTAAGACATTTAGTAAGCGAAAAAGTGTTGTAACTATTTGTCTTGTGCAGTCAGAGTCAAAAATTGTACTTCGGTTAGTTCTAGCTCCGCACGTGGGTTACGTCATTAGCTCCGCCAACACTTCACAGTATTCCAATTAATTGGTCTATGTGATCAAATTTGTATCGTTATTAATAAATTGCAAAATTCGACAGTACATGTCTCATAAGTGTCGCAAAAAATTATCTATCCCACGGTACACTTCCCATATTACCAAATTTGTTTAATAGTGGCTTCAATCGACACTTTCCAAACATTATTTACAAAACGTAATTCTTTGTAACTATTCTAGTTGCAGAACAATTAAAGTATCGAAATAATATTTTATCCCACGATACTTTAACTTCCTCTTAATAAGCAAAACAAAATTTCCTAATTTCACTGCTCCAAATTCAAATTTCTAAATCATTAAAATATTAAAACAATATTTTAATTCATAGTAATTTCCATTACAAAATCTATTGCATTTGAGCATTTCTCAAACTGCATCAGCATTTCACATAAACAATGTAATGACCCTCATTTGTCAACAGGTTACCAAATTTTTATTGTTACCTCTCATCCACTTTCGCCAATTATGATTTGTAAGTAGTATATAAGATATTGATTTTGTATTTAGAATTTAGTCTTAAGATATCTTTAACCGAAGTTAAAGTTGATAACCAATATCTTGTAAAATAAAGATTTTTTGATACAACAATAAATAAATGCTTTGTAAAATAAATATTAACCAAAGTATATAATAAGTCTTAAGATTCCACCTAAGTGAACAAATATATAATTATTAAATAATTTTCATTTATAATAAAATTTGTTTTTTTTAAACCAAATAAAATAAAATAAAAATTTTAATAAAAATTAAAATTTGTGTGTGTTTTTTTTTTTTATTTACCGAAGTGAATAAAAATATAAGTCGCGTGAACCAAAAGTTGTATATTAGAGTTCGTACATGAAGCAATGAGCTTTATTGTTCCTACAGTTTTCTCGTTGATGGCTCTTTTTCAATATTAATAAGCAAAAAAATATATTAAATTTTTTTGAAACTGAAAACGTTTAAATTAAAACTGTATTAAAAATTTAAATCGAATCTGAGTACATACAGAATAATAGATACGGCATTTTCGAACGGCATTCAATACTTTTATCATTGAAAGGAGCTGAACGACAATTACAGTCAATTAATTCATTTAATTCTCGCTGAACCCGTGATATCGTCTAACGTGCACATATCAGCCGCAGTTTGGAAAGTGAATCCATTTCTTGCCTACCAGCGTACCAATGACATTGCATTGGCGTCACTTTGCAAAAGGCCAGGTGACGCTTTATTACACAATTTAAATTAAAATAAAAGTATTTTGTGTGAAAGTGAATTTTGTTTTGCCATTTGATGAAATATTCTTTTTGATTGCATTACATGGGTTGGTATAGCTTGTTTCTGTATTAAATCACCACAGCTTCGGTTCTTTCAAATTGAGTCATACCCTTTGCACATACTCTGCAAAGTTGAAATTTGAGTTTATAACAATAGTTTACAACCACAAATTTCCAAAGAAGAGAAAGACTGTTATTATGACTTTTCTGAAAACATCACCCACTTATGCCCCATAACTGTTTTTTGCCCCATAATATGAGTAACCTCATATATTATAGTACTGTAGAGCAGATTAAAGGTGAAACTTTTGCAAATATTTTTAGCTCCATAAAATTAATGTAGCTTGATTCGTTTAGCTGATATAGCTAAAAAAATATACATGTATGAAAAATGTTTTTTTTCGCTTTTTTCAACTTTTTCCATTTTCAACGTGATGGGACTCTCACAGAAATATTAAAATATATTGATTTTAAAGACTGTTTTAACTTAATATACAGTAATGAACATAATCACAGCAAGCAAGCATATGAATTTTAACAATGTTTTTAACCCGTTAATGATTTTTAGGTAAAATGCTTCATTTGCAATTAAATAAATTTTTTTGCATTATATTATCTCTTATATTTAATTTTTGGAAATTAAAAAACCAAACAAAATACTTAATTATGCTGAACAAAATTATTGGCACACTTAAGTTCTAATGAAATATTTTGATATAATTTCATCCATTTGTCAATTTTTTCCTGAAAAAGACCTGTTATTTCGACGTTATAATTGAGGTGGTGGTTTAGTTTCTGCCTAAAAAAGAAAATACAGTAGAAATGTTTTTTGCAAAAGTAATGATAAAAATTTATAACGATAATCGTTTGTAATTGTTAAGTAAATACATATAGCGGCGGTTTATGTGATGTTTCTAAAAATCGGAGACTATTAACTAATAGTTACATATTTCATAAAATAACAACAACTATGAAATTTGATTATTTGAATTGGCATTACTTCTTATCGAAATTATTATGCAATGCAATTATATCAAAATCAAGAGCAATTGGAAGGGCCAATTCGTACAGGCGATCACTATAGTATTTTCTTAGTTTTATAGATCAAGTTAATACTTCACATTAATATTATGGCATTTTCCCTTTTTAGGTAAATTTAATATCTTTAGTGGGTACATATAATTTATTGCACAAAAATATCTTAAAACGCTTCCGCGTGTTTAATTGCTTTGCATTTTCCTACAATTGAATTAGCTGCAAAGTAGCTAAGAAAACATTAAATGTTTCATTTATCTCTTGTGTCACCTTAATGTTGCTGACAGAAGGTATTGAATTACATTGAGGATGTTTTAGTGATGAAGCATTCAATCACCATTGACTGTTGCGTATATAAAAGACGCTTACGAGGTGCTTAACAAACTACAATCTTTATTACTATTGGGTGAAAATTCAACTAATAAGCAAAACTCTCTAGAAATTTCCAAAGTTATGGAAGTGACGATACGATTAGGTAATCCAATCATTATACGGTACGATGTCAAAGATTGCAACTGATAGAATTCGAGGGTGTTGCAATAATTGAGGTTGTTGCAATAATCAAGTTCAATTTATTTAGTCTATCTAAAACTTTTTAATTAACTAAAAAGACATTAACACAAAGTTTATTAGAAAATAATATGAAAACTTATTTTTATTTATAATAACATAATTGCAATTATACTTTATGATAATAATTTATGGAATTTTCCTCATCCAATTGTATGCATGAGTTAAGTGAATTTATTGTCACGTCATTTTTGATTCAAGGTGTAATAACATTGATCTATGTTTCTGCGTCTGAATCGATTGCAAGTTGTTCAGCGAAAGACACATTTTCAATAGAAAATCGTTGACCCACTCATCCACTTCTTGTTAAGAAATAACATTATCTGGAATAATTTCATGAAGTAAATTTATTAAATTTTGCATGATGATGTCGCACTTCGATTATATTAGCTCTTATTTGATGTAACGGTGTGTTGTCATCATCAGTCCACTGATCGTTATTTAATTCTTGGTTTCTAAAAGGTTTTTAAATAACATGTGATAAAATTTTCTGTCATGCATTACCTAAAAGACAAATAGCATCACTTAAATTAAATGCTTTTAGATTTTTTTAAGTCGCTGTTATCGTCTGCGATAATATGATACAACAGACTTTTCTTATAAATAACTTTATCCACTATATAATATATTGCAGAGTGGCTTTTCATACATAGTGCATAAAACAGTCCATTATAATTTTTTAACTCTAAAGGATGACAGAGAGTGGTGTCCAAAAGTAAGATTGCTATCTTTTGTAATTCCCTTAGATCAAGATACTTATGAAATGGATCTTCAGGATTTACTTCCAATTTTTGTGCAAAATACTGTATCAGATTTTGTTTAAAAGAACAACAATGCTGTTACGAATGCTGAGTAGGATAGCATTCGATATTTGTGTAATTATTTAACAGAAATCAGTTTATCAACCAGCGATAAATCGTCGGTAAATCAAATCTCTTCTGGAAACTCCAAACTTTCATATCACTGACAATGGTACCATTTTTATTATGCATGACAATTCTTCACTCACGATACTTTCAAATATCGGATAGAAACAGAAAATAAGCACATAACACAAAGCCAAATTAAATATAAAAACTTTAAACAAAATTCTTCAGAAATTAAAACATTTTTTACTAAATTTTACCATTTACAGGAGATCTATTTAATTAATGCGATGTAGTGGCATATTAACCATGACCACACACAATGCTTGGTGTGTGCGATACTTAATGTGTCCTGCCAACCCGAAACACTCAAATATCAAGCGTGACCGAAAAACCCAAAATCCCAAATATAAAATAATTTACGAGTCAGAAATTTGACTCGTCTGTTTTGTCATTTCTTTACGACAAATATTGTGAATGCATATTAAATTGTTTCAATTATGCAATTGGCAATTTGGATTGCGGTAAGCTCAACACATGAATTAGTGTTAAGTGTTTTCTGGGATCATATACAAGCAATTGTGCTTGCAAAATGATTTGCCCGCTTTTACAGTTGGTCACCATAAGTGTGTCAACTATTTAGAAAATTATATTGTTGACCAATGACGTGAGTATATGCCATAGAAATAAGAATTTAAGTAAATAATTAAAAGTGAAATATTGTATTCAAAAACCGAACTGTTTTCGGCATGAAATAAATAACTGTAAAGTCAGTTCTTAAACTAATCTTAATGAGTGTTCATGTTTGTCTGTGAACATATCTTGAAAGTTTATAAAATAAATAGATATCTGAATATTAAACAAAACTGTGTTTAAATTTTAATTAAATGGAACTTATCCTTACAGCGATTTATTTTATGAATTTTTAGATAATTTTATTGAAATGATCGATATATTAAGTAAAGATAAGCTTGATAGCAGAATCCTAAATTGCGTAAACCTAAACATATTTTAAATGGTTTATTGCAGTATAATGCGAAAACTGGGATTGCTATTAAACCATCTTTGGTGCTTCGATTGAACAGTGAACATCAGTATTTTAATTAATATTATCATATCCTCGATTCAATAATCAGTGTTTACTTCACATTATATGTTAAGAACGGCCTTAAACACATGTCCTACATTCAGAAGAATCTAGTTCTTAATACCCAAATCCATTTTATTTTTTATATTTATTGTGACATTTATAACTTTTAATGCGTATAATATCAGTAGTAAGATTAAGATACTTAATTTTAAGAAAAAGGTGTTAAATACTTGTAATATAACTAAGAAAATGGTAAATTTCTTTTAGAAAAGAAATTTTTTGTGATAAGGTATGAATTTTTTCAACTGGATTTGATTTATATGTCAATCTATTGAATTTAAATATGCATATTCAAAGAAATTGCGGGAAATTAAGAAAGTTTGCCAAAAGAAATTGTGTATGTCTGGCATATCTGTGACAAGGAAGAATTTAAAAAAGAAAATATGCACCAGTTTCCGTACAAAACTAATAATGACTACTAACACAAATATGGAACGTGTATTATTTTTTCTGCAAACTAAATTTAAAAGAATAAGACTAACCCACGCTGTACAAATTTAATCATATCTAAATACCTGGAAATGACATTTGTGTTTCTACTTTATAAGGAAAAACTTATTTTGATCAAAGATGTTGTGTCAGATAGCAGTAGGCAAGCGCCGAGCGAAGAAATGATTCAACTATCATATACTAGCATTTCTGCTTCCTATAAAAATTCTTATCACAATATGTGACATTATTACCAATAGAAAAATAAATAAATAAACTTAATGGATTAAAATTTTATTCATTCCATTTTGAGAAGAAGTTCGAAAGAGGATTTTTTATTATTCAAAATCACAAGCAGATAGTTCAATATACCATAAATGCACTTTGCCTTCAAATTAAGTAGTGATTGTTAAATTTTGATTATCTTATTATGCACTAAAGTACTGCATGCACGCATTTGATTTCAGTTTCAAATCATTCTATTGTGTTTAGAATGGTAGCATACTCTCACTCTCACCCAACGAATACGAAATACGAATGAATAATCGTAAAAACAAAATGGAACGGAATGAATGTTAGCAAGAACACTAAATACAAGAGGACTTTTCAACTCAAGCGATTTTATTTCTACACACACTAGGCCATTCAAGAGGAACGCGGAGATTTTGCATTGGTTGTGTAGAAATTGTTCTTAATTTCTCTCTATAGTTCATATTTTTGATTTACGAATTGCTACATGTGCAAATGAAGCATTAATCAATGCTCGAGGCTTCCAACAACACTTTGCCTTAGTTAACTAACAGAATAGACAAAAAGCCTCACACATCTATTCTTCATTCTTATTGCACGCTATATGATTTCGTACGCAAGAGTAGGTGAAGCAATATTTTTCTGAAGTTAATGTATAGTCTTTGTGTTTGTATATTTCTCCTAAAATATATGATGGACTTTGTATGCATGCAATGCACAAGTAGTTTCAAATTATTATCAATTTGGTTTTTGATGAAATATTATTCTGGTCTTATACAAATACATATATCAGGTTTGTATATTATGAGGTTAGTTAGCACCGGCAGTAGTACAGTACTGTGCCCTATAGTAGCAATGATATGAAGTATATTAATATTAATAAACATCATACTGTTTTTTAAAATATTTTATTATTAAAGTTCAAAACACCAATTTATTATGAACATTGCATTTATTATTAAATCTATTCTTACATGATAACTTATATAATTTACGAACTATTTACGACCTATTTACAATAATTATTATTAACTTATCACTAAGGACATGGCTTGAATGTCGTTTAAAAACTTTATATACACCTGAATTTACATTATCCTGAACGTAACATGAACATGAACTTGAAAACCTCTCACCGATAGATGAGAGGAGGAAGAGAGTATGATATGAGTTCATGAATTTCAAGCAGCGAAATTTGCTGCGTTTTTTTAGCTTGACACGCATACATATTTAATGTTATGTTAATGTTTACCTTTTATGTTTACCATGCTGAATACTTTTAAAATCGTTTACTCCTATCAATGTAAGATATGATGGGAGCGTAGGTTGCGATTAAAATGGTTCCTACCTCCTCTTATATACATTTACAAATTTCATGTTTAAACAATTATTAATGTTTAAAAAGCAACTACAATATTCAAACATATATATATTTCAATCAGTAATTTAATTAATTCAAACGAAGGAAAGGTTTTTATTTTGATGCAAGGGAATGAATTC